TATATATATATATATATATATATATAATATTATATAGGTATTATATGTGAGAAAATTACTTTTTTCCCTAATTAAGTGACAATATTTATTAATTCATATTAAATTAATTAATCCCTGATTAAAATAATTAATCAGGGGTAGTTTTACAGTACCTGTAACAAAACAAAACAAAAAAATAAAATAAAAAAATCTTTTTACACCACGTGTTCTATGTAGAGAATAATATAATAAAATAGAATTTATCTGAAAAATTATGGATGCTATTTATATAATCAAAATCAATATAAATCTTTTTTAGGATTATAAATGTCTTTACTGTCAGTTTTGATGACTTTAATGCATCTTTGCTGAATAAATGTATTAATTTCTTTCTTCTTTCCCCACACTAAATCATGGTTCACACACATTTACATTTCTTGATCATGTTTATAATGATTTTGCTTCAACAAAATTAACATTTGGCACAACAAAAATACCATTTTGTATTACCAAAACAAAGTAATTTTAAATAATGAATAAATAAATTTCTAAATTAAAAATAGTGTACTCTTTTGACCACATTTTACTTTTTTAAATCATATTTTTAAAAAATGTAATGTTAAATTGCTAAAACGGTACCATAAATTGGCTTATCAAGTGTGTTTGGCATACGATTAATCAAAATCTATTCACAGTTGTTTACTCATGCTCTGACTGGTGACGAGACTAATGATCTTTCACTAAAGACCTCCTACTGGTAAACAAACGGGCTCACCAGCTGGCCAGGGAGTTATTCTGTGGCCTCTGACTGGTTCTCCTGGTCCACATTGCACTCCTCGCTGGGCTCAAGAAAATAAAATAAAAAAATCTTTTTACACCACGTGTTCTATGTAGAGAATAATATAATAAAATAGAATTTATCTGAAAAATTATGGATGCTATTTATATAATCAAAATCAACATCAAATTTAGAAAAAGCTCTAAATAATGTCAGTATACAGAAATGATCTGTTGGAATAAATTCTGAATATGAGATTCAGCGATATTTGACTCTGAAACAGTGAATACAGATGACAGCTACAGGTCACTATGGTGTCAGTAGAGGAATTAAACCCATAACTAGACAGGATTAGAACAGAATATTATGAAATATATATATCAAATGACTTTTTCTGCCTAACATCTAGGGCATTTTAGTCACCTTTGGTATTTTTCTTTTACTGTCCGGCACCCTGGTGAATTTTCCTGGCATTACCTGTGTGAGGATCTGTGTTGTTCATTCCTGTCCCTGTGTCGTCTTTCTCGATGTCTGTCTCTCATTCCGTCTCTTCCCGAGCTTTCCCTGTACCTCTCGCTTCCATAATGACTGTGATCCCTGTGTCGAGACACTCCTCCACACTGCACACACATGTACAAGCACACTTATTAATAATGAGGGAATAATGAGCGCTTCAGTCTATTCTAAAACAGAGCGAGATGACTCGTTAGCTACATAGGTAGCTGCCTTTTAAGGCAGCATCCTAACTGTCAAAGAACCTTACACAAGTGATCATTTGGAATGCTCAACATAGGCTGAAACATTGTACACCACACAAAAAACACTCTTCATGGCAACTGTTTTCAACAGAGTTTGTCTTTAGCATGTTGCTAAGCTAATGAAGGAAGGAAAGGACGTGACGTGTGGTGACCCATACTCAGAATTTGTGCTCTACATTTAACCCATCCAAGTGCACACACAGCAGTGAGAAGTGAACAGACACACACACTGTGAACACACACCCGGAGCAGTGGGCAGCCATATTGCTGCGGCGCCCGGGGAGCAGTTGGGGGTTGGTAACTCACTCTCCTCATCTACAATCCCTGCCGGACCTGAGACTCAAACCCACAACCTTTGGGTTACAAGTCCAACTCCCTAACCATTAGGCCAGTGTACACTGATGGTACACTGACTTCTAATAAGGCTTCCCACACTCCAAATGGGGCAAACAACCATGAAACAAAGTTGTGAAACTATAAGACAAAAGGTTCGGTCATACCTAAAAAGATAACTATAACAATAACTATATTAGTATGCCAAGCGCTCAAATGTTGAGTGGATTCCGATTGTTAAAATGTTCCACTTGTCAGGTATCATTTTATCATTAAGTACTTTATATTCCAATCTAAATAGTTGCAGTTTAAATGTAGCTTCCCCAACACTGTTAACATACACAAATTATATAAGAATATATATTCTTGTGCATGTTAAGAGGGTCACTGTCAGACAAACGCACTGCATCTCTCTGAAATGGCTCAACCTGCAGCCGTTATGATGTACAGTACCCTAATGCAGGGGTTCTCAAACCTCTCCATGAAGTACCCCCAGCACTGCACCTTTTGTATGTCTCCCTATATCTGATACACCCACTTCAGGTCTTGCAGTTTCCACTAATGAGCTGATGAGTTGAATCAGGTGTGATAGATGAGGGAGACATACAAAATGTGCAGGGCAGGGGGTACTCCAAGACAGGTTTGAGAACCACTGCTCTAATGAATGCCTCCAAGTACACATTAACCACATTCTCTCTCTTTCTCCATGCACATTCACACAGAAAAAGAAAGACAGAGAAAAGAGACAAACTCAATAACCTGATCACTCTGTCTGTAATTAGCAGTCAGTTGAAACTTCCGGCCCTCAGGTGCTGGGCTATAGATTAGTCTTGGAAACACTAATTAGCTGACAGGGGACAAAAGAGTTTGTGGTGACAGTGGTCACTTGTGGAGTGTGCGTGATCGCTCCACAAAGCCAAATGTTTTTGTTTCACTTAAAGGCACCATTCACCCAAAAATGAACATTCTGCTGCAATGAACCTTTTGGGTGAACTATCCCTGTACGTAACTTCTATGTTTCCTCTTTGTGCATTTCTCATAGTTAGTCAAATGATATCTATGTTATTGTTAGCAGCCGCTGCTGCAAGCCCAACATGAATCTGTGTATTATACATGCTGTGGCAAATTTTTCATACCATTTATTAATAAGGATTAGAACCATATACATGTTCCTCTGGGACTTACAAATGTAATAAGGCACAAAGAGTAAGACTTGTTGTGAGTCTCTCTCTCTCTCTGTCTGTGTGTGTGTGTGTGTGTACAGGTATATATGGTTTATGAGGACACTTCCTGTGTCCCCGTAAAACAAAAGGCTTAAAAAACATACAAAACGGTGTTTTATGAAATTCAAAAATTGCCAGCAGTTTCCTGTGAGGGGTAGGTTTAGGTGTAGGGTTGGTGTAGGGCAATAGAAAATACAGTTTGTACAGTATAAAAACCATTACGCCTATGGAGAGTCCCCGTAAACCACAAATACATATGTGTGTGTGTGTGTGTGTGTGTGTGGGTATGTAGGTGTCATGCCAGCTGGACTGAAGACAGACCAGTCCTCTCTCTAAGCCACAGGAATGAGATCATATCTAGGGGACATGTGTTCACCAAATGTCCAACCAGTTGCTAAGAGCATTA